CTAAAATTCATGTGGAATCTCTAGGAACTCCTAATAGCCTGAACGATCTTGAAAAAGAAGAAACTTAGAGGCTTCCTGTTTTGTGATATCAAAATTTACAACAAAGCCACAGTAATCAAGATGGTGTGGTATGAACACTGTACTTTCCTGAGAAAAGATAGACAGACATACAGACCAATGGAACCGACCAGAGAGCCTGGAAATAAACTCTTGCATATATGGTCAAATTATTTTCAACAAGGGTACCAAGGTAGGGAAAGGATAGTCTTTTTAACAAATCACGCTCAGAGATCTGGATATTCACAGGCAAAAGAATCAAGTTGGATTTCTACCTAACACCGTATATAAAAATGACTCAAAATGGGTTAAAGTCCTAAATGTAAAGACCTAAAACTATGAAACTCAAAAGAAAATATAGGGCAAAACTTCATAGCACTGGATTTGGCAATGATTTAGATATAACACCACCACCACCACCAACACATAGACAAATTGGACTTGGAAATTAATGAAATTAATTTAATTTAGTGAAATTAAGTTAATGACATTTTAATTTAATGGAAACGAAAAACTTCTGTGTATCAAAAGACACTATCAACAGAGTGAAAAGGCAGCCTATGGAGAAATACTTGCAAATCATATATCTGATAAAGGATTAATATCCAGAATATCTAGAAAATTCTTACAACTCAACAACAAAAACAAAAATCCAATGAAAAACGGGCACAGGACTTGAATAGCCATTTCTCCTGTGAAGATATATACAAATGGTCAATAACAGGAAAAGAAATCTCGCTAGTCGTTAGAGAAATGCAAGTTAAAGTCACAATGGAACATTATTTCATACCGTTGGGATAGCTATTAGAAACAAAACAGAACAAAACAGAAGGTAACCAAATGTTGGTGAGGATGTGGAGAAGCTGGAACTCTATGCACTGCTGGTGGGAATGTAAAATGGTTCATCTGCTATGGAAAAGTCTGGCAATCTCTCAAAAAGTTAAACAAAATATTACCATATGATTCAGCAATTTCACTCTTACATACTGAAAGCAGGGACTCAAACATATACTTGTACACTAATGCTCATAGCAGCATTATTCACAACAGCCAAAATGTGAAAACAACCCGTGTCCATCAACAAATGAATAAACAAAATGTGGCCAATGTGTACAATGGAATATTATACAGCCTTAAAAAGGAAATTCTGACACATGCTACAATGTGGATGAACCTTGACAACATGTTGATTGAAATAATCCAGTCACAAAATGATAAATACTGATGATTCTACTTATATGAGGTACCTAGAGTAATTAAATTCACAGAGGCAGAATATGGAATGATGGCTGCCATGGGCTGGGGCTGGGAGGGGCAGAGGAGTTAATGGGTACAGTTTCTGGAGTGATGAAAAAGTTCTGCAGATAAATAGTGGTGATGGACATACAAGAGTATGAATGTACTTAATGCTCCTGAATTGTACACTTAAAAGTGGCTAAAATGACCAATGTTACTATATTTTATCACAATAAAAAAAAACAAACAGTCATATGGCCGGGCGCGGTGGCTCACGCCTGTCATCCCAGCACTTTGGGAGGCCGAGGTGGGCGGATCACAAGGTCAAGAGATGGAGACCATCCTGGCCCACATGGTGAAACCCCGTCTCTACTAAAAATACAAAAAATAGCCAGGCATGGTGGCACATGCCTGTCGTCCCAGCTACTCGGAAGGCTGAGGTGGAAGAATCGCTTGCAGGTTGCAGTGAGCCGAGACTGCACCACTGCACTCCAGCCTGGCGACAGCAAGACTTCATCTCAAAAAAAAAAAAAAAAAAAAAGGCAGCATCCTGCTCCTGTAATCCAACACTGAGTTTGAAATTTTATTTTTATTTTATTTTATTTAATTAATTAATTAATTAAGTAATTTATTTGAGACGGAGTTTCGCTCTTGTTACCCAGGCTGGAGTGCAATGGCACGATCTTGGCTTACCACAACCTCCACCTCCTGGGTTCAGGCGATTCTCCTGCCTCAGCCTCCTGAGTAGCTGCGATTACAGGCACGCGCCACCATGCCCAGCTAATTTTTTGTATTTTTAGTAGAGATGGGGTTTCACCATGTTGACCAGGATGGTCTCGATCTCTTGACCTCGTGATCCACCCGCCTCGGCCTCCCAAAGTGCTGGGATTACAGGCTTGAGCCACCGTGCCTGGCCCGAAATTTTATTTTTAAATTAAAATTTTATTTAAAAAAATAGTCATATGTCACTTAACAACAGGGATACATTCTGAGAAATGTGTCATTAGGTGATTTTGTTATGGCGAGATCATTATAAAGTACACACGTGGGCTGTATGGTAAGGCCTGTTGCTCCTGGGCTACAAACGTGCAGTGACTCTACTGAACAATGCAGGTACTTATGACACAGTGGTATTAGTACACCTAATCATAGGAAAGCTAGAGTAAAAGTACAGAGCAAAGAATAAAAAATGGAACTGCTTTGGGCCAGGCGCGGTGGCCCAAGCCTGTAATCCCAGCACTTTGGGAGGCCGAGGCGGGTGGATCACGAGGTCAAGAGATCGAGACCATCCTGGTCAACATGGTGAAACCCCGTCTCTACTAAAAATACAAAAAATCAGCTGGGCGTGGTGGCGCGTGCCTGTAATCCCAGCTACTCAGGAGGCCGAGGCAGGAGAATTGCCTGAACCCAGGAGGCGGAGGTTGCCGTGAGCCGAGATCGCGCCATTGCACTCCAGCCTGGGTAACAAGAGCGAAACTCCATCTCAAAAAAAAAAAAAAAAAAAAAAAAAAAAATGGACTGGTTAGGGCACTTGCCATGAACAGAGGCTGCAGGACCGGAAGTTGCCGTGGGTGTGAGTCGTGAGTGCATGTGAGATCTGGGACATTATTGTACACTACTTTAGACTTTCTAAACTGTATATGTGGCCGGGCGTGGTGGCTCACGTCCGTAATCCAAGCACTTTGGAGGCCAAGGCGGGCGGATCACCTCAGGTCAGGCGTTCAAGACCAGCCTGACCAACATGGTGAAACCCAGTCTTTAAAAAAAACAAAAAACCGTATACTTAGGCTATACCACATTTATATTAAACATTTTCCTTTTTTTTTTTTTTTTTTTTTTTGAGACAGAGTCTTGCTCTGTCGTCCAGGCTGGAGTGCAGTGGCACAATCTCAGCTCACTGTAACCTCCGCCTCCCAGGTTCAAGGGATTCTCCTGCCTTAGCCTCCTGAGTAGCTGAAATTACAGGCGAGTGCCACCATGCCCAGCTAATTTTTTTATGCTTTTGATAGAGCCGGGGTTTCACCATGTTGCCCAGGCTGGTCTCAAACTCCTGACCTCAAATGATCTGCTCGCCTTTGCCTCCCAAAGTGCTGGGATTACAGGTGTGAGCCACCACCGCACCTAGCCTAAAAATTTTCTTTCTTCAATAATAAAGTAACCACAGCTTGATCAGTTACACATGTGGTGTGATGATCAGTTACACATGTTAACCAAAACGTGGTTATGTGGTGCGCGACTGGTATACACAGGAGAGGTCCTGAAAGAAAAAAAAAAACCTATTTGGACCAAAAAAGGCCTTTTCTGGTTCCGTTGAATTAATCTCTTGCACAGGCCCACTGCCCACTCTGCTGATGGGCGCTGAGCTGTAGGCCGAGCTGCCTAGAGGCTGAGGTAAGCTGAATTTGTGGGAACCCCCACCTTCCCCTTGAGGAAGTTTAAATTATCAGGTCAATTAGGAAAGATACAACCGAAAAAATCCAAGTTTCATTCCCACTTCAAGAAGGCGTTTCCTGGCTGGTTGCCACTTTTATTATTTTTGGCTCAGGCTGCTGAAAGCCCCACAGACCCAGGGAAGGTACAATGTGATCTTTGATTCGCGTTTCAGGGATCAAAGTGAGTGAGTTTGGGTGTAAATGCAGATAACATTTCAGAGAGCCTTCATGAAAGGAGTCACTAGACCAGGGCAGAAAGGGAGCTGGTGTGTTACGTGTGTGTTCCCCTTCAGAAGCGTCACTTTCCGGTGAATCCAGCTGGCTGCCCGTGGCCCCAAGACTCCTGGCCTGCATCCAGGTCCGTGGCCCACAGGCATTAGGTCCTGGGCTGGGGCGTCGGCACCCTCTCCCACCTCGTCTCCAGGCACCGTGAAGCCGAGGAGAGATGGTGTGGGGCGGCCCATGCAAGGGAGGAGAGCACCACTTCAGCCTCGCGGGTCTGGTCCCGGGTCTGAGTTGGGCACGGCCAGGTGGGGAGGCCTTGGCAGCCTGCCCTCGCTGCCCTCTCAGGGTCCAGCCACCGCGTGGGTCGGGAAGCACACCTACACCCACAGCAAGGAGGCCCAGGGGCCCTGCCCGCAGCCCCTAGGCATGGAGGTGGAGGGTCCTCTGGCCTGCCTGCGCCCTGCCTCCCGCGCCTGGGCCGCAAGAACATCGAACAGGGCCCTGATGAGGTTTCCAGCACCGGCACCGGCACTCCGCGGGCATGTTCCAGCGCGCTCACGAGGCCCAGCAGTCCCGCTATGCCCACACCCGCCACGACAGCTGCAGCCCCCCAGGCTTAGCCCGACCCCAGCAGCCCCCACAGTGTCCCGCTGACGCCAGGACAGTAACCGCTGGCTGAGGCAGCATCGGCCCCTCGGTCTACGCCACAGCCGGGTGCAGATTTCCCTGATCTCAGGGACCGCCGGGCACCGCCCGTTGGGAATCACGGGGGCAGCTTTGGCCCAAGCGCCTCGCGCCTGCACACGCGGCCCCACCTGCTCCGGTGGCGCCCGGCGCCACGTGAGAATAAACGCTCCCATCACTCACCGCGCGGCGCCACCGCGCCAGCAAGGACCGGGAGCGCCTACGGGGGCAGCGCCTACACGGCGCACGGCGCAGGCGCGGTGGGCGGAGCGCGCGCGCACGGCCCGGCTGGGAGGCGCGCGTGGGGCGTGTCGGGAGCCTGCGCGGGTTCGTACGCGGCGGCCGCGCGCACGCTGGAGGCGTGGCTGCGCGACGCAGTCGGGCCCTGGACTCCGCGCGGCGCTGCTGCCTGCTTGCGTCGCCGACTCCGGCCGGAGGGTCAGTGTGGAGGCGGGAGCTGCCGCGGCCGGCTTGGAACTCCGTGCGCGCGGGCCTGGAGCTGCGCCCCTCCGTCTTCTCCCGACTTCTGATCCGCGGAGGGGCACTCGGAGCCCCAGCCTGGGTCGCAGTGCCTTAGGCCTGCGGGCCTCAGTTTCTCGGTCCGCGCCGGGGGTTTGTGGGGGCACCTGGAGACATTCGGGCCGCTGTCGCCGTTTCGGGAGGTCGCGCCCGCGCCTTGCCTGGCCTCACGGCGGCCGATCTCGTTCTCCACTTTCTAGGTGGCGCTCGGACTCTCGCCCTCGGAGGGAGGCCTGTCCCCCGGTCTCTGGCTGCGGATCCCTGGACCCTCTTCGCGGGCGCTGCGCGGAGCCGCAGGTAGGTGGGCGTCTTACTGTCGTGGGGCTTGCGAGCTCGTCTTTCCTGCATGGCGGTCGCTGGGGGGCGGGCGGTGCAGTCGTGTGCGCTCAGCTTGCTCTGAGGCTTTGGGCACGTTTTGTAGTTGGGGCCCCTGGGTCTACCTAGAGCAGAGAACGCCCCAACGTTCCAGGTGCTGCCTTTGGCCTTGTGGGGGCAACTACACATGCGCCGTGGTACCTGCTCCTTTAGGATGGTGCCGTGCAGTTCAGAAGGGCCGAAAGTCTCCTGTGCCAAGGCAGTGTGGGGAGAGAAGCAGGGGAACCAGCAGACGGTTAGGCGTGGGAGGGCTAAGCTGCTTAAAATGGTGAGAGTGCGGCCCAGCGTTAGGAAGGCTCAGGCTGAAGCAGGCCTGGCTGGCTGGCGCAGGGAAGCTTTCTCCCAGGCTCCATTGGACACAGGTGTGCAGGTGAGTGGGCAGGGTGGTGGACTGGAAAGAAGGGAAGGCAGAGATCTGGGTAGCACACTGTGGCTCCTGGGCGTGGGTGTGGTCATTGCAGGTAACTTGGATACCTGAACTTGGCTGGTGGTAGGAGCTGGGCCCTGGATTGGGGTCACTGCTTTTTTAGAGTGCAATGAGGGACGGGACCGGACACACTCATGTGCTGTCCTGTGGGTTTGCTGCCCCCAGACCTTAGTATAATCTTACAGTAAGGTGGGAAGCCAGGGTCAAGGGCTGGGCTTTCAGGTGAAGACCCTCCAGAGGGGAGGGAGTCAGACCTGAGGGGTTCCAGAGTGTTTGGGTGGTGGAGGTAGGGCCAGTGGCCCTGGCAGGTTCTAGTGCTGCAGGCCACTCTGGGAGGTCCTTGAACCAACTCGTCCTGAGGGGAGATGACCGGCAGATAGGAGACCGGGGAGGAAGGTGTGTGTCGGCCCTGTGCTGCCAGTGAGCCGGTGGAGTTTGTATGCAGGGTGAAGCAGAGTTTCATGGAGGTGGTGAGTGGGCGTCTGTTTGCAGAGAGACTGGGGCGGGGTGGGGGCTAGCGTTCGGCTGGAGAGTGTGAGACCCCCGGAGGAGGACTCCTTCCACTTGAAGAGAACTGTGCCAGCCGGCTGTGGAGCCTCCTAGGTGACTGCTGCATGGAGAAGAAGGGGCAGGTTCAGCCATCAAACTGAGACTCCCCAGACCCAGGGCACAAGTGACTGGAGCGGCGGGAGCAGACAAAGCAAGTGGGATTCCAGGATTTCACAGTGGGGGACTGGGATACTGGGCTGTGGCTGGGCTGGGGACTGTGGTGTTTAGGGGTGGGGGTGGCATTGCCTGCAGGCGGCACTCAGTTGTGAGAGGTGAATTTGGAAAGCATGTGGGGTCCGGAGGGAGCAGATAGTAGCAGGCTCCCCGCTGCTGTCGGGGGTGCAGGCAGGAGCTGCCGTGTGCCCGGTGCTGGGATGTAGAAGAACCTAATGACAATGCCGTTTGTGCGTTGTTCGATGTTGGGGCAGTTAGAACGTGCTCAGCAGTCACATGCAGTTTATAGTCTGCATGCTGTTACGGTTAAGGCTGTGGTCTCCAGCCAGTTTCTTCTGCTTACTTCACTGATGGGTTGGTGTGTGGCTGCAGACGAGTTCCTTCAGCAGTGTGTGCCTCAAAGACAGTACTGGTACCAATCTCATGTGGGGGAGGTGGCGCAAATGGGGCATTCAGTAAAAGATTGCTACTATTGCTATCCTGAAGTTCCCCGGCAGTTCTGATCTGGTGCCTGTTCGTCTGAAATCGACAGCGGTTGTCATTTCACCGTGCCCTTGCATTATTATCACAGGCAGCATTTGCCCACCTTCCCAGACCTCACAGGCCAGTCCCCTGGGCCCCTCCTTCCACTCAGACCTCCTAGTTGGGTACCAGAGGGTTGCCTGCTTGCTGCCTCTTCCCGCCAGTCCAGTGGTGATGGTTAGGCCTGGTTCCTGCTCTTCCCTACCTTGTCTTTGGACAGATTGCCTCGGATGGTGGCCTGCGACTGACAGTCCCTCAGCTCTTCTCAGCTCTCCTGAGGCTGCAGCTGTCAGCTCCCTGATCCTCAGCACTTGCCTGGACCAGTGTGGGTCTGCCACGCCCTGTTCAGCCATCCCTGTACTGTCGTGCCGTGCAAGCCACATCTGTCCACACCCTGCCCCCAGTGCTGGCTCTCCTCTCTTCTCCCCTCTGCTCCCAGCATGCCTCGCGGCCGTTGCCGTCAGCAGGGCCCTCGCGTTCCCATCTGGGCAGCCGCCAATTATGCCAACGCACACCCATGGCAGCAGATGGACCAGGCCTCTCCTGGGGTGGCATGCACCCCCCTTGTGGATCCCTGGATTGAGCGGCCCTGCTGCGGGGACCCCGTGTGCGTGCGAACGATCATGGAGCAGAAGAGCACAGCTAGTGGTACTCCTGGCGATCAGCTCGCAGAAAGGGGTCCTCTAGCTGGGTGCATGCCCAGCCCCCGACCCCGCAGGGTGGACTTCTGCTGGGTGCCAGGCTCGGACCCAGGCACCTTTGATGGCTCCCCATGGCTACTGGACCGTTTCTTGGCCCAACTGGACGATTACATGTCCTTCCGCTTCGAGCACTATCAGGACAACACCAGCCGTGTCTACGAGATCCTCGGGCGCCTGACAGGCCGAGCCCGGGCCTGGGCAGCCCCCTACCTTGTTGGGGACCTGCCCCTGCCTGACGATTACGAGCTCTTCTGCCGGGATCTCAAGGAAGTTGTTCAAGACCCTAACAGTTTTGCTGAGTACCATGAGGTGGTTCCCTGTCCCCTGCCCCTGGCCTCCAGCCGGCCACCAGTGTCCCCGCAGCTGCCTGCGGTGAGGCAGTACTTAGCTAGGTTCTTGGAGGGCCTGGCACTCAACATGGGTACTGCCCCCAGGGCTTTACCAGCTGCCATGGCCACCCCTGCTATGCCTAGGTCCAGCTCTATATCCAGAAGTGCTCTGCCCGGTCAGCAGCTGACCAAGGGGAGCGCCCCTGGACCCAGGGGGCCCCCAGTCCCGCCCAGTTCTGCATGTAGCTCCAAGCCTGGTCCTGTGGAACCAGCCTCCTCTCAGCCAGAGGGGGCAGCCCCCACACCTGTCCCTAGACTGTTGGAGTCAGCTGATTCTCCTGCCCAGAGACCAGACCCAGCTCACCCAGGGGATCTGAAACCCCGGAAAACAGAGGAGGAGGTTTTGGAGACAGAGGGAAACCAGGAGGTATCCTCAGGTACCCCAGGGGAGGTGGTGGAGGCCCCGGAGACCCCAGGAGAGCCACCACTTTCTCCTGGGTTCTGAACACAACCCAGGCGGGAGCAATGCTGCGCCTCATGATGAGGTGGCCTGTGTGGCTCGAGAGCCCCTTAGTCCCCTGTCAGAGGAGAGTGGCATCCCCAGATTATTTCAGACGACCCCAGAGCTGGGCAAGGTGTGCTTGTTTTGGACTTTGCCCTGAGCAGAAACGGCTCCCCCGACCCCAGCAGAGCTGTCCTCCGCCCTGTGCCCTTTCCCTGCTCCTGCTGGCTGTCAGTTGTGTCCCTGCCCATCACCTGGGAGTGCCGTCTCACCCAGGCCTGCTCCCGTGAGGGGGTCATTTTGTGGATCAACTCCCAGCAGATACTTGCATCATCTTTGTCACCTCCACCCCCACAAAACACCCCCCTTGGTATCTTCCACACTGGCCGGGACTGAACTGGGTCTGCTACATCTGCCCTGTTGGGATCTGGTTTCTCTTTGGGTTCTCTGTGTGTCCCCCTAACCGCACCATCTCTGCTCCCTGTGACTTCTGTCCCAGTTGGAATGTGAGGAAGGCTGCCTGGAGGAAGTGGCAACTTTGATTCTCCTGGATGAGTGGGATGGCATCTTGGCAGAGAATGATGTTTCCGGTGGGTTTACCAGCAGTCCTGGCCAGCTGGGAGGTTTGGATGCAGGCAGATGGGATGCAAGCCCCTTGTTAAGCTGAGCTGCAGGCATTCTCCCTTCGTTTGTTAGCGCTCAAGTCATGCCTGGTGTTCTGAAGCAGCTTCCTCTTCCCTGCTGCTGTGCTGACGTCCCCTCCCCTGCGCACTCCCGTACATCGCCCATTCAGCAGTTAACCCCAGTGAGGTAAATGACTTGGATCTCCCTCCTGGCTGTGACCCTCCAGGGCAGGGGCTCTGTCTTAGTCAGCTATGTGGCTTGGTACACAATTGGTGCTCATTAAACGTGTTGGATTACTGGCTGAGCCTGTGGTGCAGTGGCTGCCTACCAGTGAGTCCCCGTTTGCATTCTCAGAAGCAGAGGCCTGGTCATGAGCATTCCAGGTCAGCATTGCAGGTGTGGTTTCTAGCAGGGGATTTGAGGCTCCAAGAGTCTGATGGAAGGAGCTGGGGCTGAGTAGGCGGGGGTGGGTGGCTTGGCAGGTGGAGAACGGACTCCCGAGAGCTGTAGGTGAAGTGAGGACCAGGCAGCAATCCAGAGCTGTGAGGCCCCAGGCCCAGAGGATTGGAATGAAGAAAGACCTGTTCCGCACAAGGAGGGGTTTTCTAGTGGAGCTGAGCCTGGAAGCTCCTGGAGCCAAGCTTACCACAAGATGGGCAGGTACAGCCGCCCAGTGTGTTCAGTGTGTGCCCACTTTGGTGCTTGGATGAGAATTTCAAGCCCCTTTCAGTTTTATGATTGTGAAAACAACAAAACAACACCTTCCTGAAAAGTAGGAAGGAAAAGCAGAAATGTGAATTGAAAATACAGCCAACTAAGGAAAAACGAATTAGCAAGCATCTGATTAAACTTACTCAGAAACTGACTGGGCACGGTGGCTCACACCTGTATGGCAGGCGGATCACCTGAGGTCGGGAGTTCGAGACCAGCCAGACCAACATGGAGAAACCCCGTCTCTACTAAAAATACAAAATTAGCCAGGTGTGGTGGCGCTTGCCTGTAATCCCAGCTACTTGGGAGGCTGAGGCAGGAGAATTGCTTGAACCTGGGAGGCAGAGGTTGCAGTGAGCCGAGACTGTGCCATTGTACTCCAGCCTGGGTAACAAAAGTGAAACTCTGTCTCAAAAACAAAACAAAACCAAAAAAACCTTAGAAATATAGAAATTGTTGGGATTATTTTAGTTGGTAATTACCACTAAGAAAGGCTCTGGGTTCAGATGGTTTTATGTGTGAGTTATTTCAGGGCACAAATACCATGTAGATAAAACAGCTGGAAACCCTGGAAATAGGTGGGAAGCTATTGTTTGTTAGAAAGCGGGTATAGCCCCTGTCGCAAAGTAAGTAAGCTGGCTGAGGAAACCCGTGTTCAGTCTTGATTCTGGTCAGATGTGGGAAGTCCTGGACATCCTGGCCCAGCCCCCTGCTTCTGTGCCAGGTCACACAGCTGCCCTCTATCCAATGGCTCTATCCAATGACCCCTGAGGGGTCAGGTCAGACTGCTCCCCCATGTCTGCCTCCAGTGCACTGTGGCCTGGCTTGCCTGTGGGTCTGGCAGTAGAACTCAAGAGTTGCTCTCTGGGATGGACAGACTGGTCACCCAGTTAACCCTTACCCTGTCCCACAGGCTTCTGGACAGGCCACCTTCCCATCTCCCTTTAGTGGACCTGAAGTGGATCCTTCAGCCTGGGGTTGCTGCCTTCTCTTCTGAACTCTGTCCTACTGGGGCTTGGCCTTTTCGGCTCTTGAGACCCAGGCAGCTCCTGGGGATGTGTGAGTTATGGTCTGCCATGTGTCTGAGGGCCAGTTGCACAGCATTAGCCTACGCAGGCTTGAGAGCTCATGGGAGAGTCCAGGTGACCTGGTTTTTAATTTGTAAAATGGGTCCTGTTCATTGTGCTTGGGCTTTCTCTAGAGAGGAAAGCAGGGTCTCAAAGTGCTGATGTCCAGGTTTCCGGCACAGGTAGGGTGGAGGCAAGGATGGGCTTCGGCACGGCCTTCCCGACAGGCAGTACACACGGCCCCTTGCAGAGTTGCTATGTGGCCAGCTGCTGCAGCACCTGCTTGCAGACAGACAGATGACAGAGCTGCTTTCCTGCTCCTTGGGGAGGGAGGTGCACCAAGGGCCAGGAGAGGAGGCACTCTCCCTGGGTCGTTTGTCTCTCCTGGCTCCCACTCACCGACAGACCCGAAGCGGGGGTGCTCAGGAGCCACAGAGCCTGACAGGGTTTGCTGGGTGTGCTCAGGGACAGGCCATGGTGCTGGCCCTGCTTTCCCATCATGGTATCTGTCCCTCGCTTCCCTTGGAAATACCGGAGATTTTCTATCCTGAAGATAGGACACGATGGGTGCTATGAGATGGTGTTTGAAGTGCCTGTCTCCAAGGAAAACTTTAAAACAGGAAGTTCTGAGGATGAGGTCCTATGGGATATTGGAATATTTTATAAAGCTACGATAATTAAAATACTTAGATGTTGTGGACAGATGAGCAGAGAATAGGGAACTTTGAAACAGGGTCAAATAAATAGGGAGATTTAGTACATGCTAGAGGTATTTCCAATTAATGAGGGTAAAATGGATTATTCAGTAAAAGCAGTTGGCCCTCTGGAAGACAGTAAGGCCGAGTGCATGCCTCACTCTTTTATGTCAGTACGTATTCTAGAAGGATTAAAGATTTCAGTGTTAAAATTACGAAAGTACTAGAGGGAAATACGGGTGAACTTTTTTGGCCTGTGATTCCAGGATTTAAAAAGTCTTAGATGCCCAGAGTTGTGGAGGTATGGAGAAGCGGGCCTTCTCATGCTATTGGTGGGAGTATACAATATTACAGTTTGACCACATAAGGTGTGTGTTCTGGGAACACACATGCTGTGACTGCTTGCTAGGTGCATGAGGGCTCTTGGCAGGGATGGTCATGATTTGGTGCCACTACATGGGGGTTTAGAGCAGGGACTGGAGGTTGGCCCTGGCTCCTCCCCTCCCTTCATGAGCTGAGGGTCCTCATCTGACCTTTTTGAGCTGTGAACATAGTTTTTCATCATGGGGTGGTCAGAAGGTTGGAATGAGAGTGGTGCCCATGCCTTGCCTTGGCTGGGGTCTAGGCCCTCTGACACCCACCTTGTGGGTGTCACTGTTTTTTGAACAGCAGAACTGGAAAAGCCCAAAGATCCAGCAATAAAGGAGCAAGGCAAATAAAACTGTTACCCTGCAGGGTCAGGCAGCATGAGGCAGGTTGTGCTGCAGTAACAAAGATCTCCAGCGGTAGTGCTACGGTTGACGCTGTTTATTTCTTGCTCACACCTGGCGGCCACAGTGGATGGAGCCTGTCAAACCTGTGCTGACAAGAGCCTACCTGGACATATTTCTCCATGCTAACTGAGGCAGGGGAAAGACCACAGCAGGCCACAAGTGATGTGTGTCACCCCGCTTCCATTTCTGTGGCCAAAGGAAACCACAGAACCACACCTGAGTTCCATAGGACGGGAGCAGCTGATCATCCTGTGGGCCAGGGTGCTCAGTATGAAGTAGAGCAGCCACCCAATGCGGGGCTGGTGGGTGCTGCTGCTAAGGATGGGAGGATGGCCTGCGTCTGTCCCCGGGCAACACACCTGTTTGTCTGCTGGGGCTGCCTGACAAAGGACCACAGGCCGACAGGCTTAAACAACAGACATTTATTTCCTCATGGTTCTGGTGCTGGAAGCCTGAGATCAAGGTGTGGGCAGGGTTGGTTTCTCCTGAGGCCTCACTCCTTGGCCTGCAGATGGCCACCTTCTTGTCGTATCCCTGTCTGGGTCTGTGCCCTAATCTCTCGTGACGTCACCAGTCTGTGAGATCAGGGCCCACCCATGAACTCAACGAACCCTGAATTACCTCTTTAAAGACTCTGTCTTCAAATAGAAGTCCTAGCGGTTAGGACTTGAACATAATATTGGGGGGACACAGTTCTGCTCACAGCAGTGCCCGAAATGGGCTTCTCTGGTTTTGTCTTTGCTGTTCCTGACAGTGCTATCTTGAGCAGGCCGCCGTCTCTACATGCCTGTCCCCCAGGCCCTGGGTTCTGGGGCCATACTGAGGCGTGTTGGATGGCCAAGCCTCAGCTGTTGAGTGGGCAGTGCCTAGTTGTGCTGTACGTGACACTGTTTCTCACTTAAGAAATCTTTCCCTACCTGGGGGTGCACAGCATTATCCTGTATTCCCAGGTTGTAACATTCTGCTTTTGACATTCAACCTCAAGTGTACCTGTAAGTGTAACTGTGGTGGGAGGGAGGGGTCTACTGTCATCCTTGAGAGCCTGCGATGAGCAGAGCCCCTCTGCCGACTGCGATGTACATGTAATATGAGCAAGAAATAAATTTTTGATGTGTGAAGACACTGAGTTTGGGGCTTGTGTTTTCCACAGCATAACCTATTATATCCTGACCGACAGGGGATCCCATTTCACCTTTTTCCACAGGGCACCAGCCTGCCCCAGCATCAGCTGCTGGCTGCAGCAACTCACAGCCTGGCTGCAGCTCCCCACAGGCCGCGCCTGGGCTACCTGCGTACTCTCTGTTCCGATCTGTCCCCTCCTGGGTTATTCTAGCTTTATAAGTCTTGATTATCTCATAGGGAAACCCCCCATGCCCCCATTCTTCAAATTGTCTTGGCAAGGTTTTTGGTGGTTTTTTTTTTTTTTTTTTTTTTTTTTCAGATGGAGTCTTGCTCCGTCACCCAGGCTAGAGTGCAGTGGCCTGGTCTTGGTTTACTGCAACCTCCACCTCCCGGGTTCAAGCGATTCTTCTGCCTCAGCCTTCCAAGTAGCTGGGGCTGCAAGTGTGCACCACCACGCCTGGCTAATTTTTGTATTTTTAGTAGAGATGGGTTTCACCATGTTGGCCAGGCTAGTCTTGAACTCCAGACCTCGTGATCTGCCCGTCTTGGCCTCTCAAAGTGCTGGGAGTACAGGCATGAGCCACTGTGCCGAGCCTGTCTTGGCAAGATTTAAAACACATTGGATCACAAATGCAGAGGCAGAGAGGATGGTGTCATGGCACTTGCCCAGCCCCAGCACCGTTCACACTCTGCTGTTGCAGGCCTTGGGGGCGCTGTGTCGCTGGACAGCCAAGCCTGCTCTCCAGACAGCAGGACCTGTCACTCCCTTAGTTTCTTTTTGGGCTGCATCGTCTCTGTTACAGGGTCATGGTGTGTAGGTGGGGGCTGGCCAGAGGTGAGCCCAGGCCTCTGGGGTGCCCTCATTAACCCACTGCTTTCCTTCTTGCCTCAGGGATCCACAGCACAGGGCTGGAGCCCATGGATGTACTTGCCACATTCTTCTGTGTCCCCATGGGCGGGGCT